GGTTGAATCATGCTATGGAAGTTGTAAAGAAAGAGATCTTGAAACTCTTGGATGCCGACATCATCCATCCAAGTTTGGATAGCCAATGGGTAAGTCCAATTTATATTGTTCTAAAGAAGGTGGGAGCCACTGTTGAGGCTGACCACGATGGTAAGTTGATTCCGGTTTAGAAACAAACCAGTTGGCGCCAATGCATCGATTACCGTAAGCTAAATTCAGTCACAAAGAAAGATAATTTTTTATTACCTTTCATTGATCAAATGGTTGAGAAATTAATGGAAAGATCTCATTATTGCTTTCTAGATGGTTTTTCAGGTTATTTCCAAATTGTCATTGCACTGGAGGATCAAGAAAAGATTACATTAACTTTTCCATTTGGCACCTTTGCTTATAGGCGAATGCCATTTGACTTATGCAATGCCCCTGCGACATTTGAATAGTGTATGATATGCACATTTTTTGAATATGTAGGAAATATGATTGAGGTTTTCATGGATGATTTCAGTGTATATAGAAATTATTTTGATATTTTTTTCGATAATTTGGCTTTGATCTTGAAAAGGTGTCGAGAGAGAAAGTTAGTTTTGAATTGAGAAAAATGTCAATTTATGGTAGAAAAAAGAATAGTTCTTGGACACTTAGTTTCAACAAAAAGAATAGAGGTAGATAAAGCCAAGGTTGACATTATCTCTACCTTACCCTATCCCACTTTGGTGAGGAATTTGCATTCTTTCTTAAGGCATTCAGGATTTTATCGCCGATTCATTAAAGATTTCTCGAAGGTGGCTGCTCCTCTTTTCCGATTGTAACAAAAAGGATGTTCAATTTGAGTTTGATGAAGAGTGTAAGAAGGTATTTGACAAGATTAAAGAGTTTTTGACATCACCGCCCATCATTCAACCACCAAATTGGGACTTACCTTTCGAGATCATGTGTGATGCAAGCAACAAGGCAGTGGGGGCTGTATTTGGAAAGAGGAGTGGAAAGATTTTATGGGCAACCTACTATGCATCAAAAGCACTTAATAGAGCCCAATTTAACTACTCCACTACTGAAAAAGAATTCCTAGCCGTTATTTTTGCTTTGGTGAAATTTAGATCTTACATATTGGGTACTAAAGTGATTGTATTTTCTGACCATGCAACTTTGCGGTATCTAATGGCGAAGAAAGAAAGCAAGCAAAGGCTTATACGATAAATATTACTCTTACAAGAATTTGATGTGTAGATTCAAGATAAAAAAAAGAAGTGAAAATTCGGTAGCTGACCATTTAAGTCGCCTTTCTACGGTTCATGAAGAATTACATATATGGGAATATTTTTCGGATGAGCAATTACTTATGATTTCCTTTTCTTTTCTTTGGTATGCTGATTTAGTGAACTATTTTGTCACTAATAAATTTTCTGCAGGATGGACAATAGTGAAGAAAGATAAGGTGAAAAGTGATGTAAAATACTATGTTTGGGATAAACCCTATCTGTGGAAACGATGTGCAGGCCAAGTCATCCGACGATATGTAGAAGAAAATGAGTGTGAATCGATTCTAAAATTTTGTCATACATTAGAATGTGGAGGTCACTTTGGCTCTCAACGAACTGCAAGAAAGGTACTTGAGAGTGGATTTTATTGGCCTATATTATTTAAGGATGCTTATGAATTTTGCAAAGCATATGATAAATGTCAAAGAGTAGGCAATATTTCTGGTAGAAATCAAATGCCCCTAACACCAATGTTGTTTGTTGAGATATTCGATGTGTGGGGTATGGATTTTATGGGCTCATTTCCACTTTTACATGGTTTTCTATATATCGTACTTACTGTTGATTATGTGTCAAAGTGGGTGGAACCAAAGGCCACCCGAACTAACGATGCTAAAGTTGTTGCAGATTTCCTAAAGTCCTTGATTTTCATTTGCTTTGGAATGCCTAAGTCAATTGGAAGTGATCGGGGCACACACTTTGCAACAAAACTATTTTAGCTTAGTTTCATAGGTATGGAGTTCTTCATAAGGTCTCAACGTCATATCGTCCGAAAACAAACAGGAAAGCAGAGGTATCTAATCAAAAAATCAAGGGAATTATAGAAAAAATAGTGAGGCCGGATAGAAAGGATTGGAGTTTACGCTTAGAGGATGCGTTATAGGCATATAGAACTGCATATAAAACTCCGCTCGAGATGTCGCCCTACAAGTTAACATTTGGTAAACCTTGCCATTTAACCATTGAACTTGAATATAGAGCTTTCTGGGCTACTAAACAGTGTAAAATGAATTTGAGTGAAGTTGGAGAATGTAGGAAATTGCAGTTGCAAGAGTTGAAGGAGATTCGAAATGAAGCTTACGAGAATGCTGTGATTTATAAAGAAAAGAGTAAGAAATTTCATGATCAAAATATTTTGAGGAAGGATTTTAAGGTTGGTAAAAGGTTTTGCTTTATCATTCTCACCTTAAGCTCTTTCCGGGTAAGCTTCATTCTCGTTGGATAGGTCAATTTTTTTTTACTAACGTGTTTCCGTATGGTACAGTTGAGATTCAAAGTCTGAGCACGGAAAAAAGTTTTGTTGTGAATGTATGACACCCCGGCCCCCAAGCCACGCAAAGCCAAGCGTTTTGGAATTGTAGACTGGCCCAACAGGTCAATATGAGTTCTTTCAGCATGCTTCTGTTTTCACTCACGTGCATTCTGAGAGACTTTCCAGAAGGTCACCCATCCTTTAATTACTCTAGAGTTCTTTCAGTAGGGCTCCTGAAAAGAATGTGCACATTGTTGACATAAGTAGTCTGTTATATCCATTTAACCTATCTATTCACTATATGATAGCCTGACACCGGCTCTTCCATACTCAGAAGTTGGCCTAGCAGCGACCCAACTTCGGGGGTATTACATTATTCCCTACTTAATAATGCAATGTCCACGTTACACCCCAAGGATCATCAACTGTTAGGCCCGTCACCAGTCTAGTCAATGACTGTGGGTTGTCTTAGGTTGGCTTTGATATCAACTATGATACCTTGGCCCCTAAGTCACGCAAAGCCGGACGTGTTGGAATTGTAGACTGTCCCCACAGGTCAACACGAGTCCTTTCAACGTGCTTCTGTCTTCACTCACATGTATCCTGAGAGACTTTCTAGGGGATCAGCTATCTTCAAATTACTCTAGGTCAAGCTCGCTTAACTCTAGAGTTCTTTCAGTGGGGCACCCGAAAAGAAATATGTACTTTATTGATATGAGTAGTCTATTAATCCATTTAACCTACCTATTCACTCTTGTAGCCTGACACCGGCTCATCCATACTCGGAAGTTGGCCTAGCACTGGCCCAACTCCGTGGGTATTACAGAATGGACATCCTCTTAAGCTTTATTATGAGGGGTTCCAGAGCAAAGAAATGAAGTGCGTAGCTCTATTTGAGCCACGTGATTATTTTAAGAGACATTGTGTCGAGCAACGACAATAAACAAAGGCGCTTCTTGGGAGGCAACCCAAGTTTTTTTATTTTATTTTGTGTGGTTTGAGTTTTTGTTGTGTTTTTGAGTTAGTTTCATGCCTTGGTTTTGATATTTTCATACAGATAATATATTCATAGTTGGATGAAGCAGAATATACATGGTTCTTAAGCGTGGCCACGCATGCAGTGTGTTGTGATTGATGAGAGAGAAAAAATTTCAAAGAAATCAGAACATATAACTTCTTTAGACATGATCATGTCTAATGAAGTTTTACATTCTGAAGAAGTGCACAAAAGAGCCTTACATTCTGAAGAAACCATAGCATATTACAGTCATGGCGACAATATAAGCCAACTATCTGGATGCCCACCAATTAGTAAATAGGTAGGGACTACTAAAAAAAATAGAAGTATTGCTTATGAAACTAAAGTCCTTAGGAAAGACGGAACAAAAAGCAAAATACTGGGCAATCCAAACAATTAATTTCAATCGCATAACTTTTTAACAAGCACAATTAGAAACGGTGTGATGCCATTATTCTAACACATATTTGGCACCAACATTAAAAAAGTGAGGAAGTGGAACACACACCTCTAATATTGTATGCCATATTAAAAAGCCATTGATCAATATTGTTACCAATCATATAGAATTTATCTATGCTGCACCGAAACAATGTAAAACATTATAAACAAAGAAAGTACTAAAATCAAGAATATGATATGACTGCACAATGTGACACACTTATGTATACAACATTATGACATAATCATATCCTTGGATGTGTTTGATGAGTCTTCTATATATTGAATTAAAAGAAAAATCTAACTTACAGCCATTGGGAGTTAGATTTACCCCCAGTCCTATTAATTAGTTTGGAAAAAAGCCTACGCTGTATACCCTTTTTATATCTACATCGAACGATAATTAGATTGTTTAGTCATTGGAGGCCCCCGCTATTAAGGATAGTTTTGCATGCAATAGGAAATTAAATCTTGATAAAGGCAACCTAAATGTTTATTTTTCTAGCACATTAATTAATCAGTTTCCCAAGTTGGTAAATTATCGACTTTTTTTCTTTTACTCTTGATTTTCGATTGGTAAGACACAAGTCACATGAGCATCTGATTAAGTGTATTTGGCATGTAGAATTAGCCATCATTGTACATTCTAAGAACACTTCTCCTTCAGATCAATGACTATAAGTTCAAGCCCAAAACTATAGCAACTAAAACAAAGGTAGGGTTGAGTGTTAGAACACAGTACACAAAACCAGATTGAAGAACAACTTATAAGATTACATCATAGATGAAAAATATCATTAGTTATTAGATACATACCAAATTGTAAGATACGGATGAAACCCTAACCAAACACCATTTCCTCAATAAAAATAAAACTAGCGAAATTGTGCAAACGGATTCACAATTATCACAAATTGCAATTCGGTTCAAACAATGTAAGGATTTCCAAAATATTAGTGATGATTTACACACCCTAAGCAAGATACAAACATGTTAGGTAGAGAATAGAATAGCTAAGTTTTTAACTAACTTGTCGATTTCGTGAGCACAATAGTTGCGACTTGGAAGATTCACGGTCGATTCGGCCTACCTCACTCTGCGCAGGTGAGAGATGGCAGCCCACGGTTGATTTTGACCTAACTCAAAGCGGGCATTGCGATGCAGTAGAATGACGGGCAGCAACATCACCGTCTCTGGATCGATTTTGATTTTGGAAAACGGAAAGTGAAGCACGGTAATTTCTCCAAGTTTTTTTTTTTTTAATATAGCCTTTTTGAATGGATGTAGGGGTTGTATTTGAGAAGCTAATAACGCTTTTATCTTTATAAATTTAAAATAATTATATATAATTTTTTAGTACTATATTTATAATAATAAAATTTATATTGACTTTTTGTTATGATTTAAATTGCATAACAAATAAATATATATGTAATTGTTATAGATAAATTATCGAAATAAATATATTTTCTTATATAAATTTTTTATTATTATAGAAAATCTAATATTAAACTTTTTTGTTACGGTTTAATTACGTAACAAATATATAGAGGACGATATCTTGTTGTATATGTATTTGTTACCCATAAACTACCGAAACTAATAAGTTTTACGTTTTTAAAATTTTGAAAAATATATATAGATTTTATTTATTATTAGAATTATAATATTGATCTTTTTGTTACGGCTTGTTTTGCATAACAAATATATATGACGACATCTTGTCCTATATGTAGTTCTTATGGATATTCTACCGAAACAAATAAAAAAAAAAATTTGACCACAAATAAAAAAATTTTGTTCCGACAGTTTTTGTTATAAAAACATCTTTTTGTGACAGATTTATTCGACAATATTTCGCTACAAATAGAAGTTTACAAGTTTTTTGGTAGTGTATTTTTTTTTTTTTGGAACTTGAGGGTCAAATGCCCCTCCAAGTTTCTTGTTAGTTTCATCCATGCAAGTCCATCACTATTAACATACATACACTACAAAAAAATAATATATTTGTAACGGAATTCCGTCCCTAAAGTTCACGTAGCTAACGTAATTCCATTACTAATTCTGTATCTAATGTCATTAGTAACGGAAAAAGTAAATTTAGAGACAAAAAAGTTTTGTTACAAAAATGATTTTTTCTTGTAGTGATACATCCATATATATATATATACCATATATAAATATATATATATTTACCCACATATAATTTATATATACGCATACCGCTATATATATATATACAGTGGTTACCAGAAAAAATAGTTAATATTTATATTAATTAATTCTATATTAATATCACAATAAATTTGAGACTTTGGACACCGTTTCTTTGACAATAGTAAAAATTAATGTCCACTAAAATTTAACAAATTCAAGATTTTGGGCATCGTTTTTTTGATATCAGTAAAAATTGACATCCGATAAAATTTATTGAGGTGGGTCCTTTTAAATAATTTGGGCGCACCACAAATAATATATTTTTAATATATTATATTATATTATATAAATTTTAATTATATAAATATTTATATATTATATACATTCTCTTTTGTTTTAAATTATAGTTGTTTCGTTTTCACCTGGTGTGTTTACGGGGCGGCTAGCAATTTGCTCAAGGCCACTAACTAAGAGGAATCACATATTTTAAAATGTTACCCATTTTTTATTTACATCATTGAATGGACCCATTCGAAAACAATTGGATGATGACAAAATTATTAACGACTGGAATCCCGTATTTCTATTAAATAACATATGAATAGTTCTTTGATTTTGATTAAGGGGTTGTTGAATTCTTGCCTTGGAATAAGAATAAATTGAAGAAAACGGATTGATATTGGTGAAATCTGATCCATTAGCAGAGAGTAACCCTGAGCCCGATGGATCATTCCTTTTTCCGATATATGAAATAGTGAATTTTGCCAAGTCGATTCTTAGGAAATGTCGAATCAAACCATTTGCCCTTATTTCAACAAAGGAAGCACGGGCTTCTTGACTAGAACCTTTTTTTTTTCTTCGGTCCAATTCAATACTAAACAAGTCCGAACTAATTGAATATTTGTATCAGAAATTCCTCGAATTGGTTTACCGTTTCCAGAAAGGATATAATTGACAACTTGAAGTTGCACACTATCCCTTTCCTGCGCCAGATCCGGGTAAAAAAGAGTTGCTAAAGTTATACCATCCATTATTTAATATGTGGCGACAGGCCGAACCAAAACAAAATACTTTTTCTTGCTAAGTGTAATCCGCTGAACATAGATTCAATTTTTCCGTTTTTTTTATTTCATGTAATTTTGTTTTCCTGTTCCTAGTGGTATCAAGCCGCCGCTATGTCGGGATATCTTATCTCTCTCTCCAGGAAAATGGATATCTCCTGAAAAGATTTCCAGTTCCAGTTTTTTTTTTTTTTTTCTCTCGACTCGGACCAATCCGCCCACACGGCTTCTTATATTTAAAGTAATTTGTGTATCTACCCCAATGATACTATTGTTCCGTACCCTTATGAAAGAAGATACGGGTAAGATATGCACTTCCTCGGGAATGAAAAAAAACGGATCTACTTTCATTTGGTATTTTGGCCAAAATTCCTTGTCTCCTAGATACTCAATCAAATCCTCTTTTTGGAGGATTGAATGCATTTCTAGAATTCTATATTTAGTAATGCCCAAACTCTTTTTTCTGTATCTAGGATCGTCGAAATAAAAAAGAACACTTTTTCTACGCAAAATACCATTGGGGGGGCGTTTCAATCGAGATACCTGAAGGGGACATTAGTTCGTTCTCACGTTCTTGAATCGACTGGAGTGGAATGATGAATCTATTTCTTCGTCTCTATGAGAATAAATCCGAATTCTGGTAGAGAATGGTGGTATCCATGAGATTCCAACGACCAGTACATAGAATTCGACTAATGTCTGAATAATCAGGAATCCTATGTTCTTTTTTACCTCTACCCGAAAAATTGGATTTTTGTCTCGACTGATCATTCCTTCCTGAGAAGTTTGATGTGGACCCCCTCTTGAGAGAACGAAAATCTGCACTCATTTGATCTTGATCCTTGTGGATTGCAAGTGAGACTAGACTAGATCCGCACGAACCTCCTAATAATATCCATAAATGACTTGTTTTTGGTAATAGATGAACGTTGCCGTATGGAAATTCAAGTGCATGATATACGTTGGTACTCCAGTGCAGTTCTCCGTCTGAGTCGGAATAAATATGTTTTCGAACCTTCTCTTTAAAATTCAAAGTCGATGTTCTTGCGTGAATCTCCACAATTACTTGTTCTGATTCTACATATTGATCATTTTGAACTAAAAGAAAACTTTGGGGTGGAATATTTACATTATGTCGAATATCTTCACTCTCAATAGTTACATACCAGTTTCTATAACATAGAAAGGCGGGATGTCCACGGCGTGTACGTGTCGGATGAACCAAATCTTCATTGAATTTGATTTTTCCATTTGAAGGGGCTCGCACATGTTCTGTAGTACCCCCCGTGAATACTCCGCCGGTATGAAAAGTTCTTAATGTTAATTGAGTACCCAGTTTGCCGATCGATTGACCTGCAATAATACTACAGCTTCTCCCAATTCAACCAGGTCGCCATGAGTAGGACTCCGGCCATAACATAACCGACGGATCCAAGATACATTCCTACAAGTAAAAGGAGTTCGAATAGCTATTGGTTGTGCTCGAAAGGTTATGAATAGATTTACAAGTCCAATTCCAATGTCTTGATTTCTAGTGGCAATACATCGTGTGCCCATATATATATCATTGGCTAATACGCGACCAATTAATGTTTGGATAAAAACCCTTTCTAGCATTATCCCATTCTGAAGACTCACAAAAATACCACGGACGGTGCCACAATCTGTTCGACGTACAACAATGTGTTGAACCACTTCAACAAGTCTGCGCGTGAGGTATCTAGCATCGGATGTTCGTACAGCAGTATCTACAACCCCTTTCCGGGCTCTGTAGCAAGAAATTATATATTCTGTTAAAGAAAGCCCTTCGCGTAAATTGCTTTGAATGGGTAAATCAATCATTTGTCCTTGGGGGTCCGACATTAATCCTCTCATACCTACTAATTGATGTACCTAAGATGCATTTCCTCTAGCTCCCGAAAAAGACATCATATGAACTGGATTAAAGGGGTCAGTCATCCTAAAATTAGGATTCGTTTCTTGTCGCAAATATTCACTTGTGGCATACCATATTTCAATGGATTGGCGTAATTTTTCTACCTTGTGTACATTCCCATAATGATGGTGTTTTTCAAAAATCAAACTTTGTTGTTCAGCATCTTGAACTAACCATCTCTTCGAGGGTATTGTTAAAAGATCATCAACTCCTAATGAAATGGATGTAGCAGTAGCTTGTTGAAAACCCAGAGTCTTTACTTGATCTAGGATATGTGATGTATATGCCATTCCGAAGTGATCTATTAATCTACTAATAAGTCGTTTTATGGCAGTTCCATCTATCACTTTATTCTGAAATACCAGATTGGCCCATCCTGGTATAACATAAGTACTTCCATATTCTGCTGAGTATGATTCAACAATGGGGTTGAGTCAGTGATTTTAAAATTTCCTTTTCTCGATCTTGATTCGGGTAGAAATTCTGGAAATATGGGCCTAGTTGATAGTTAAAGTTAAGAGATTTGAATTCCTACTGGCATCGTAGAATTTCTTAGCGCAATTGGGTACCATATGAGCAGACATGAGAAAACCCATGTATGGCTTCTTCGATTTCTTGATAAAGAGAAATCGAACTAACAGTGGTTCGAATGTATATAAAAAGAATTTCATTTTTTATACTTCTTACTATTAGATAGTGTCCATAAATCTCATAATAAGTGCCTAAAGAATGATAGTGAACCTCGATGGGAGTTTCTATTGAAGCAATGAGGCGGTGATCTAGTCGCCACCGGAGCCACAAAGGACTATCTAAATTGATTCGTTTCTGCCGATAAGCGCCGATCACATCATAGGAATTAGAAAAAAGGATTCTTTTGTATAAACATGGTTATTATTGTGACTTCTTTTATTTTGATCGTTTCTACGATTCCGTAGATTATGCCTATTTACACAAATACTTCTACGATTCCCGCTCGTTAATACATAGAGTCCAATAAGCATATCCTGAGTTGGTACGGAAATGGGGTCTCTAACCGCTGGAGACAAAAGATTCATATGAGGAAACATAAGTAAACGGGCCTCTG